AGGCAGAATTAGAGGCGATGTTAGAGATGGGGGTAGTAGAAGAATCCCACAGCGACTGGGCGAGCCCGATAGTTTTGGTACCTAAAACGGACGGCTCGGTTCTGTGTGGATTATCGCAAGGTGAATGCGGTGTCGAAATTCGACGCCTATCCAATGCCGCGGGTTGACGAGTTGCTGGATCGGCTGGGCGCAGCTCGCTTTTATGCGACACTGGACTTAACCAAGGGATATTGGCAGATCCCCTTATCGCCCTTATCCAAAGAAAAGACAGCCTTCACGACGCCATTTGGATTACACCAATTTGTTACCCTTCCTTTCGGGTTGTTCGGGGCTCCGGCCACTTTTCAGCGGCTCATGGACAGAATCCTCCGCCCGCATGCCGCCTATGCCGCTGCCTATCTAGATGACATCATCATTTACAGTCCGGACTGGCAGCGGCATATGGCACATCTGCGGGCTGTCCTACGAGCTCTGAGGGGAGCCGGGCTGACGGCCAACCCGAAGAAGTGTGCGGTTGGGCGGGTGGAGGTAAGGTATCTGGGCTTCCACTTGGGTCATGGGCAGGTGCGTTCCCAAATTAATAAGATGGCGGCAATTGTGACCTGTCCGAGGCCCAAGACCAAAAAGGAGGTGAGGCAGTTCCTGGGGCTGGCAGGATATTATAGGAGGTTTATCCCAAATTATTCGGACCTTACCAGCCCGCTGACTAACCTCACTAAAAAGGAAGTGCCAGACCCGGTCCAGTGGACGGAGCTGTGTCAGCAGGCTTTCACCCAGGTAAAGGCTGCTCTGTGTGTGTGGGGCCGCTCTTACACTCTCCTGACTTCTCTCTCCCTTTCTTGTTGCAGACGGACACATCGGACAGGGGGCTGGGGGCCGTCCTGGCCCAGGAGATGAGTAGGTCAAGTGCAAAATGATGAACACCTGTGTCTGACTGCAGTAATTAGCCTGGAGAGACCGGATAAAAGGGCAGACTGGAGAACAGAGTGGGAGAGAGAGACTGGGACTCGTGGCGATCCCGTAGCCGGAGCAGGAGAGCTGATTGAACTGAGTTGATGCCCTTGGCAGAGTGAGAACGCGCTGGAAGCGCCCCGTTTGTGTTTTGTTGAACTTTAAAGAAAGCAATAAAAGAGCCACGAGTCTCCAAACCACCTACCTGAGTCACTTCCTTCTTCCCCTTACGAACGTCGTTACAGTGTTTTTAAACTGTTTATGACTTTGTTGTTTTGATTCAGTGTTCATAATTTGTTGTGTGTAGTTGGTAGTAATCCACAATAATTGTGTTCACTGGAAGGGACAGATAATCATTGTTTATTCAGTCAAAATATTTAGTATTACGACAGGTGTCCTGGCTTAGCGCCGTTCTGTGTGAATTGTCAGCTGGAAATAGGACAGTCCACCCTAGCCACATCACCCAAAACAGGGCCATTTTTCCGATCCAATTTTAAATGTCATTTTAGAAAGAATTATTGAAAATGATGCAAGACTGCATGAAAAAGTCCTTCTTGTGGTTTAAAATAATATACATAAAGTGCTCTTGAACCATCATTCATTTACATTTGAGCCATTTGTGTTGGTGTGTGTCACTTGAAGTCTTCAGAACATATATAATGTGGACCAATGTACATCACACTTTAATGGAGATATTATGCATAGACAATTGTGCTTCTTGTTTTTCTGAGACCAAATGGTGTGTGGAGCACATTTTAATTTGTAGATGTTGTATTTCTCTAAAAAGCTATGAGCGTCAGGAGTCCAACAGTGTTAAGTAACTTATTTGTGTTATTAAATAAACTTATTTGTGTACTTAACTATTGGTAAAAAATAATATGTCTTTAAAGGAAATGTTCATTTGTATAACTGTATTAAATGCACTTGAACTGAAAGACATAGTATAAAAAAAGTGTTTAATTTAATTTAATAATTGTAGCAGTATTTCTCACTATTACTTTTTTTCACTGATTTTCAGATCAAATAAATGTAGCCTTGGTAAACATAAGGCACTTCTTTCAAAAATATGTATATTTTTTTTTAATCTTAATGACCCCAACTTTTGAACGGTGGTGTAAATTATTTCAAGCAAACAATGTGTTTTTGAATATGTCATGATGATTTACCAATTCCAGTTTAGTCATGCATAGTGGGATTATCAATAAATCAAGTGATCCACTTTGTAGGGTTGGGGTGGCGTTTGGGGCGATTAAAACCAAATAGCTATAGCCATAGCTGTGATTAAGGACAATCAACATCTGAACATCAGCCAACCGTATAATTGAGTACCACATGCTTTACCTCTGGTTAGTGTCAACTAGCTCTAAAACAAAAATCACATAAAACAAATGAGCCATTTGTGTGGATGAAACAATTCCCATTAGTGCTGTTAATCTGATGGGTATTAGGGCCACAAGAGGTATTTTTAAACACATTGCAATTTGTTGATTGTTGGAAGAGTCATGATTTATTAAAAGCTTTTTCATAAACACTGCAAACACAGCTACTCCAGAGAGGGCAAACAAACAGACCGGCCATCACTTTAAAGAACCGCAATGCAGTGTATTTAAAAGTTTGAGGAGAATTATGATTTTGCAATGTGAAAATAGTAAAGTTTATCTAGAGTACAAGTCAATGAGGTCGGGGAGCGCAATCAAGAATATAAACTTCTTGTGCCTTGAGATTAATTTAGCCTCTCTCTCTCTTCAGAGGAAGAAAAATTACTTTCATTATATCATTTAATTCTTAATACCTGTCAACCCAAGAGAGCTGTCCCTACAAATTCAACCTGCACTTTTATTACTGAAAGCATAACAAATAGTAACAGTGCACTATATATTTTTTTTTCATTTTCAGTCTGGTCACGCATGTCTTGTTTATAACTTCCTCTCTGGCAAATAGGCATGGTCAAATGAATGCAAATACATCCCATTATTGGGAGTAACATGGGAGATGGGGAGCTAAGAGTTAGTGACACATAAGGTCTTGGGTTTGCTGAGAAAATATTAAACAAAATGAAACATGATGGAGTCATTTTGGAGACTTGTAAAGTAAGTTTAAATAAACATGAACAACTAATTGCGTTTCACCTGTTCCCTTGATGTAACTATGGAAAGCACCTGAAAATGAAAAGAAGATATTTTGAAGAATATTTCAACTGTTTTTGTCCGTGCAATGAAGGTGAATTCACTTATTTTATGGACTGAGACCTTTTTCAAAATATCTTCTTTTGGTTTTCACAATTTAAAGAAAGTCGAGCCGGTTTGGAATGACATGAGGGTAAGTAAATGATGACAGAACAGACTTTAATTAAGTTAATTTAATTTTTAACAGGAATAAAAACAAGGCTGTGAGGGATAGAAGTACAGTCTGTTCATTGGATTGTACTTTTTTTGTATGTATTGTATTTACTATTGCTGATGAAAGTCTTTGCAGGAAAAAAAAACTTTCAATATAGACAAAAGCTCCGTAAAACAATTTTGAAAGTTGTGAGTTGGTGACGTGATCAAGGACTTTTATACAGTGAGTGCCAGTAAGTCTAAGTCTATCCCTCACATCCTCGAGTTCATCTGCATTACATTTAATATGGTGTCCAACCTGACTAAGGTCTATGGACCATTTTCACAGACTGTGATTAAGCAGTTCAACAGTCACCAGCATCATAAATCAAGTTTTTTAGATTTTCATTTTTTAACTATATACTTAGTATTATATTACCCTTGCATCAAAAAAAAAAAAGTTAACGCTGGGTGTTTGTAATACACCGGCTGTGGGAGTGATGGTAAATTTAACATCGTTCTCTCTTCTCTCTCTCTTGGTTTCTTTCTCTCCCATTCATCACTATAGATGTAGTCTCCTATTCTCCGCTATAGAAGTTCTAACGATGTTGTTAACTATGAGGTTCTAACCCAACTATGTTGACTTCCACTTCTGAGAAACCCTGAAATGTGAAAAGGGTGCATTATTGTTTATGTGTGAACCATCCCTTAAAAGGTGCAGTTGGAGTGGAGAAGGGATTCCAGAAGAATATTCAAAACTATTTACATACCCTTATATGTAATTTTGACTGCCAGTTTTATATGTATATGCTCTTGCTTTATTTTTTGGAGCTCCTTTTAATTTAATGAATCATTTATGTGAGTCATGTTGTGGGTGTTCCATCACTCACAAATGCTGTGTTCTACCAATAAGGCTGCCAAATGTATACATTTGGTTTATGGTCTCGGTTTATTTCTTACAAGCCTTTTTGAGAAGTCTCGTTTGAACATAACCATATTGGATGAGTTTTGGTTGTGCCCATTCACGTCAGAGTGGCTGAAGTAGAAATCAAATCTGCCAAATGTATACATTTGGTTTATGGTCTCGGTTTATTTCTTACAAGCCTTTTGAGAAGTCTCGTTTGAACATAACCATATTGGATGAGTTTTGGTTGTGCCCATTCACGTCAGAGTGGCTGAAGTAGAAATCAAATAATTTGGCAGTCCTAATGTGTTTTGATTTTTCCATTAGCAGGCCAGTCGTTCTGGCATTCACGCTGGCATGATCATAATTAGTGTCTTCCATTTGCATCAATGCAGTCAATTGAACTGGTAGAGCATTGATCCCATGCTGATTGGCACTACCTACACCGCTTTACAACACTGATCTGAGTTACAAGCCAGAGTTGGTTTCTGAACCCTGACTGCATTACACCTGCTTGTGTATGTCGCTTTCCATTTGCAGGGCTAATGTGTCCCGGCTTTGGAACAACCTCCCAACATGAGGCCCTTGATGGTGATGGGCGAATTAAGGTTGACATCCAATCGATCTGGGCCTGGCCTGGCCCGCAGCGAAGGGAGATATTCGCACGCTAGGGTTATAACCCCTGCAACCCCCCGCAGCCAAACAGCTGTTGACCTCCGAACGGATGCATGAACTACTTCCTATTTCACAATCCACCTCCTCTCTCACAATACCCTGATGGCCACTCTTCAAATGATACTCTGCCTTTTTTCAGCCACTCTTGATACTTTGTAGGTCATCTGGTATGGGCATCACTGTGCTTGATGCATTTGACTTTTCATTTTCCTTTGAGACACACAAAAATAGAAGAATGTAGCTGATTGGTAATCTTAATAGACAATATGTGCACTGAAATTTTGGCTGGTTAACACTGAAACAATACGTTTCATGCAGCGTACCGACATTTAAAATATCGAGAATACAGATTGCACTCCTCTTCTAGACATCCCTGCCGTTTGACAATTGACTGACCTTGATAAAGGAAAAATCATGACTTACCAGTGAGAGTCTGACAAAACATTCTTTGTGAAAGCAGCTTTTCAAATATTTTTGAGAATCAAATTTGTGATTTTTAATTAAAAAAAATACTTTTGTGTTTAGATGTTTTGCATTGTCATTTATAACTCTTGAAATTCCAGACCACAAATGACGTGAGTTAAGTCTGTCTTATTATTGCTATGGCTTTTTTATGCAGATAATCTTCTTTATAAAAGTAAAACTCTCCAGTCTTGCTTTTTATCCCTCTCTGCCATATCCAGTATTGGTGTGAATAAGCCGCAAAGGAAGCAATGAGTCAGCATGAGTAACTGCATTGTGACATTGTTCTTCGGAATTACAGAGAAAATTAAAAGGATATTGTTTTTATGATATCATAAGGACATGAACATACTGTATAAACTAACATCTGAACACATTAAATGAACACTCATGGATAATGATAACAGTTATCACATTTGAATGTTAATGTGCACTAAAATCATATCATCATAAAACTCTGCAAGGCTCACTTACAATATATTTGAATATGAGCACTGATAGATTATATAATTAAGTTATGTAAAGAAAAAAAGATTATATAAAGATCTCAGATAAACTCCAAACATAAATCTATGAATGCCCTCAATGAGAAATATAAGTACTGAGAATCCATAAAGACAACAAACTGGAAATAAAGATTGATTGATTGATTGATTGATTGAGGACGAGCAACTGTGAGGGGATTTTGCCCCCCAAAAGGCTGTGAATTTCTACATTTTTGCATGACAACAAACATATTAAATTGCAGCTTTAGCATTTTCCATAGGCAAAACTATCTTACTTTATATTTGTATGTGTTTGTTTACGCATGCTTCTATTAGACATAGAATTACCACCTGGATTGGTATCCAATGTACAGGTGCATCTCAATAAATTAGAATGTCTTGGAAAAGTTCATTTATTTCAGTAATTCAACTCAAATTGTGAAACTTGTGTATTAAATAAATGCAATGCTCACAGACTGAAGTAGTTTAAGTCTTTGGTTCTTTTAATTGTGATGATTTTGGCTCACATTTAACAAAAACCCACCAATTCACTATCTCAACAAATTAGAATATGGTGACATGCCTTATCAGCTAATCAACTCAAAACACCTGCAGGTGTCCTGAGCCTTCAAAATGGTCTCTCAGTTTGGTTCACTAGGCTACACAATCATGGGGAAGACTGCTGATCTGACAGTTGTCCAGAAGACAATCATTGACACCCTTCACAAGGAGGGTAAGCCACAAACATTCATTGCCAAAGAAGCTGGCTGTTCACAGAGTGCTGTATCCAAGCATGTTAAATGAAAGTTGAGTGGAAGGAAAAAGTGTGGAAGAAAAAGATGCACAACCAACCAAGAGAACCGCAGCCTTATGAGGATTGTCAAGCAAAATCGAATCAAGAATTTGAGTGAACTTCACAAGGAATGGACTGAGGCTGGGGTCAATTTTTCTTCCACTCAACTTTCTGTTAACATGCTTGGATACAGCACTCTGTGAACAGCCCGCTTCTTTGGCAATGAATGTTTGTGGCTTACCCTCCTTGTGAAGGGTGTCAATGATTGTCTTCTGGACAACTGTCTGATCAGCAGTCTTCCCCATGATTGTGTAGCCTAGTGAACCAAACTGAGAGACCATTTTGAAGGCTCAGGAAACCTTTGCAGGTGTTTTTAGTTGATTAGCTGATTGGCATGTCACCATATTCTAATTTGTTGAGCTAGTGAATTGGTGGGTTTTTGTTAAATGTGAGCCAAAATCATCACAATTAAAAGAATCAAAGACTTCAACTACTTCAGTCTGTGTGCATTGAATTTATTTAATATTTCACAATTTGAGTTGAATTACTGAAATAAATGAACTTTTCCACAACACTCTAATTTATTGAGGTGCACCTGTAATTTGAGATTTATAAATTCAGATCATTCTACAGTAGCATTCATAGCAATCAAAATCACTGTCACTCTTAAATTAGTGATCTTAAAACAGTGAATAATATCTACAGATATTATGCCTCAACCTGCCTAACTTCATTTTTACTTTATAGAGTAAGTCCTAGTAACTTTAATACTGAGACAAAAATGTGACCACACATAGGTTATAAATAAAACATTTATAAATGCATATCGATGCTCACGCATTTTGTAGCAAAGAAACAAGAAAATCTTGCAGCTGTTGTGGTGACGGTCTGAAAGTTTTTGGAAACATGTATAGCTACTATTTATTGAGAAATGCAGGCAATCAACTTGGATAAAACGCGGGTTCTTGTTTCTTGGCAACCCGCGTATCTCTAATGTCTCCGCCCATCTCTCTCTCTCTCTCTCTCTCTCTCTCTCTCTCTCTTCTCTAGCGCTCCATCCACCTGTACCTAGGTAACGTGAACACGCAATTAATAGCGGGAGCGCGCACTCTGTATGGTCCGCGCACCCGCAGCGCGCGTGAAACTCAGGAAATCTGAATAGCTGTTTCTTTCAGAAACCAGTGGATTGGGATTTTTTTTTATGTTTCTGAACTGTCGCAGGATATCTAAAGTAACAGGTAAACCCAAACTATCTTACCTCCAGTGTTATTGTGGTTTGTTTACTGACGTTTCCGCTGCAGTGTTTCATAACTCACCGTTAAACTTGTTTGTAAGATACTTTGCACTGTCACAGGAGCGGTCAACAACCGTAAGTGTTTTAAACACCACAGGTTATACATTTGCAACGTTCCTTTCATTAATGACACTTTATGAAAGCAGGTGGATAAACGAATCCGTGCTCGTGTGCGCTGTTAACGGCATGTCGTGAACGAGGGAAGCACGCCCCCTTACAGCAAGTGCGCGGCCCCGTGACTCTCCCGTTAAACCTGGTTTGAGTTAAAACTGTTACTCTCGCGCAGAGCTCCGAGGACAAGTCAAATCACAGTTTTACTCTCTCTTTCCGCAGGGTCAGATCGGCGGAGTCCAGCATCTTCGTGGCATAACAGGAGCGCTTCTGGCACGGGAAAGAACGCCTAAGTCATTTTATGGAGGCTTGCGGGACGCAACGAAACATTTCTTAAAGTGTTTGGCACCGAGGATATCAGTCCAGATCCCCCTTCAGTTCGGAGCATAACTTAGTCTTGTTTGGATTTCAGCCTGTTTGAAATGTGGCGTTATGTGATCGAGATAAATGTGCTATGTGTGTGATTTGGAGAGGATCTTGTGGAAGGTGTCCAGTGGGAAAGAGACTGGGTGGACTCATCTGCAACTGATCGCCGTTTTCTGAGCGCAATGGACTTGGAATGAAGACAAAACATGGATATAATCTGGGAAATATTTATTATCCTTCAAGCCAATCTCATCGTTTGCACTTCAGGTAAGATCGTACATGATGATTCTTTTGAAAGTAAGCGCTTAATATTCGTTTTATAATAGCTTAAGTTGTGTTAAAACCATAAAAAACATGTATTATAAATAATTTACGTAGCTACTTTGTCCCTATTATTAAAATAATATTTAAAATATTTCGGAAGGCGCAGAATTCTGTAGGAATCCAGTTTTTGATTATAGACTATTTTTAAAAAAATCGCTTATTTTCGCTGCATACGACCCACGCCATTTTATGTGAATTAGGCTACTGTTCCTTTTTATTATTTCGAATAATTTAAGTAAAAATTTTTTATTTTGCTTTAATATTTGCTTAAAATAGTATTTTATTGATGTTTGCCATCAAATACTAGCAAACTCGGTCGGGTAGGCTATATCCTGTGTTGTAAATGGGCTAGGCATACAGTATAGCCTAAGTTATGCGTAAATTAAATTACATTAAAATAAAATTGCATTAATTATCATAGTCATAATTATTTCCCCACTGCTAATATAAACGTAAATAGTGATTTTGGAGGTGGTCATCACTGGACAGACCAAATGTAGAAGCAATGGCAACCCGAATTACAGCACGGATCCCTGACTGCTCTGCTCTGTCTCCATTAACACTTACTATCACTTTAGTCAATCTAATGCGGAGCCGAATGATCGCGTAATGTCGAATATATGTTGTTCTCTCAGACATTATAGTGTTAAAAACCACAACAGCCACGGAAATAACTTGAGTGGGCAGAAGTCTGAATGACTGCCAAAAGCTCTTCAAATAAGAATCACGATTATTATTAAATGACTAAACAAATCAAGTCCGTTCTGGTTTAACTTTAAAGCTCCTCGTGAGAGGTTTATGAAACGCGTCCAGCAGCGTCGCCCACGCGAGAACTGGACATTGATGGCAACGCAGCGCGCAACACATCCGTCTTTCTCACGATGCGTGGGACAGGCAACGTAAACGTCCTTGACCAGTGTTTATGGCCTCTGAGAGCTTCCCTTTGTAGTAGCTTCATGTAAATGTTCACCATCAGTTTGCATATGGTTACTAATATGGGAAGTCAGGTTGCTTTGAAATATTAGTATTTTTTTAAAGTGACATTACAGATTAGCACAATTTGGTAAGTGTGAGTGGTTTGTTTTTTTTTGTTAAATATAAAAAAAAATACTAGTCGGGGTTTATATTGTGTGATTCCGAATACTAATCAAGGATCAAATGATTTCCTCATTCATACTTATCTCAAAACTTCATTCTGGTTCCTATAAAGCATCATCTCTAAAGATGACCTCGACATCAGATGTAATGAGCATGATGATTATGTTTAGTAGGGCCCTTACGTCTGTAAAATTAGTGCCATTTTTGTCTCTTTTTCATTGACAAGTCAATGTTAATGTGTAATTCAGAAAGACAGGACTTTTTCAGAAATAGTATCCATTGGGAATTGATTGGATTATGAAAAGTGGGCATTGCATATCAGAGCAGAGCCACACTGAATCTGGGTTTGCTTTTTGGTATTCAGTTAACGTTGCCCAGTAGCACACAGCCTAAGTGACGTCAATGGAAAAGGATGTTTCTGAGAGCAAGTTTAAAAAAAAATTGATTAATGATTGTGATAGCAGCCTTTTTTAAATTCAGAATAACATGCACAATGAATCATTCAAAATAAGAGCATTGAAGTTAATGTGCATTTAAGTAAACTGGATCATTTTTGCATTTTGCACATTTTTGGGTGTAGCCATGGTGAATCAGGTTTCATTTTCAAGCACAACATTTCCAATTTTCCACTGCCATCACTCCTCAAATAGCAAAGGCCTCTAATGTACTTTCAACTCTTGTTTTCCCCAGCCGTTTTCTTGATGACGCGTCTTTTGTCAGCAATTACATTGCTTTATGACAGATGGAAAACACTATGAAGTTAATGTGCATTTAAGTAAACTGGATCATTTTTGCATTTTGCACATTTTTGGGTGTAGCCATGGTGAATCAGGTTTCATTTTCAAGCACAACATTTCCAATTTTCCACTGCCATCACTCCTCAAATAGCAAAGGCCTCTAATGTACTTTCAACTCTGTTTTCCCCAGCCGTTTTCTTGATGACGCGTCTTTTGTCAGCAATTACATTGCTTTATGACAGATGGAAAACACTCAATTTTGCTGTTTAATCAATCATTTTTTAAAAGTTTGAAGGTCAAATTTATCTCTCTGTCTTTGGTATACAAGAAGGAAGCTCTCAGTGATTTTGTTGTTTGTTGGGACATGTTCACAAAGATCAAAGATTCTATTTTGTCCCCACTACAGTCATAATTGGACCATAACAAGTGCCATCATCCTCAGTTCTTTGGTTTCCAGGCATTCTTACCGGAACATCATAGATTTTAGCTGACATTTGCAGAGCATGAGCATTTGTTTAGTTATGGCAGTTAACATTTGCTTTGATGCCGCTCTGGATCCAGCAGAACAGTGATCGCCTCATGAGCCACAATTCTCAATAAGTGAGGAGGAGCATCTCCTTGTGTCAGTGTACACAAATACTGCATTTTTAGATGGACTGCGTTAGAAGTTGATGCAAAATCAATTACGGTTCAATCAGTTATGACATCTTATTGGGACTGATTTATTTGTGCACTTTCTGGTTCTTTATCCCGATACACTGAATGATCACCCTGATTAGAATGTACAGTGAGGTGCAAAAGTCTAATGATGATAAATGCAGCTCATCAAAGTTTGTTACATTGATCATGGGACTCTTGCAGACGTCAAATGATCTTTCTTTTATTCAAGCTCAAGATGCTCAGAAATCATGCTTGAGAACATGATCATTAGATTCAGAAAAGGCCATTTACAATGTAACAGTTTTAAACAAATTATGCTGCCAATAGTAATTTCTATGGTGGATTTTAAACCTCATTGTATTGGTATTATGTTATAAAATGTAATTTAGTCATTTAGTTAGCTTTAATTTAGCTCTTTATTAAGCTTTGACATCCTTCAGTTAAAGTCCAGGGAAGTTATTTAGTAGCCAGACAGACACTTTGCTTAAGATAATATTCCAAAACAGGGAGCAATGTTGCAAGTTACAGTACAATTTCCATATCAGAGTTGCAAGGGCCCATGCACTGTTGTTGTCAAATTTCTCAGTCCAGTCAATCAGTTTAGTGTGCACAAAAACGTTGTGCCACCGTTATGATAAACATAATTAGTAAACTTGATTATGTTTTTCATGTTTGTTTGAATAAGACTCAGAATCCAAAAAATCTCAATTTCGACACCAGAGGTTACAGTTCTGCTTTGTTGCGCTGAGTCTTTGCTTATGAAAACAAAAGAGTTTGCATTCATCCAGGTAATTGGAAGAATGTGTGTGTGAAAGTCTAGTCAGAAGCATCTGGACTTCGAAGTTGTTTTTCCGCTCAATTCACTGATTCAAATGCATATACAAATGTTGTGCATTGTAGTTCTTAGTCCTCATTCACATACATTTCAACCCTTTTGAAAATGAGAAAAGTTAGTTATTTATTCTCGACAAAACGGAGCTGAATACTGTGTCCAATTTTAAAGAGCACCAATTGTTTATTGACAGTGAGGCATTTACGGTGGCATTATTAAGAGGTTGTATGCACTTTCATCTATGGTGGCTAAATGTTGTAATTTATCAATTCCTAATTTGCATGGTTCTTGTTGTTGTGAGCACAATATATTATAGGTGCATGCTTTTAAATAGAATATTCAAATGAATGCATAAAATTAATAATTTGTCTCTTGCAAATAATGTATTTTATAGATTCAGTTAGAGAAAATGTTAAAAATAGATAAGATAAAATTGGAGTAATGTTTCTCATTAAAATAGCAATGCTTGTAATGTTTTTAATGTCATGCTCTCTACAAAATTACTCCCAGCTTCCCTGAATCCTGACAATTTTAGTGTGAATATTTAATTAGCCCGAAGAAGCATGTCATTTAATAAGGCATTTGAATCATTAAAACTAGACACAAGCCATAACTGAAAGGCTGAAAACCTTCTAAAACAACCGTGGGTCAGGAGCAGCTGTGTTTAGCTAGGTCTTCCCTGATAGGTGGGTGTAGCTAATGCTGTTGACTGTCACATGCAACGGGCATAGCCATTTGTAAAAACCCAGCCATGAATCTTGTCACAAACCCACAGCAGCGCAACACCATGACATGTTTGCACTAGCTCTCAGGTGCCCTGTGGCACATCATCCACAATGTGCACCTGGCCACTCTTAGCTCAATAAGCTATGCTCACCACAGCCTGACAGCGATCTTGGCTCTCTTTGCAAGGGAGGCCTTGCTGCTGCCATGCGTGTGACACCGAGAAGGTGTTTTTAATGTTTGGGCAATGCCACGGCTGAAGACTGGAACATAAAGCAATGATATCTATAGTACAGAGGCTTTCGCTGTGGCTGGGTAATCCTGCACGCCCACAC